GTTGTTTGAGATCCGGCGGGCGGTCAAGGCAAGGTCACCGCCCGCCGGAAGGCGAAGAACACCAAGATCTTTAACCTCGCTCTGATACCATGTTGAAATTTATGTAATATTGATTGTTATTGATTGATATGTATTTGATTACAAATTACAACTTCTATAAATAGAAAAGAAGGTGGTAGTAGGTGTAGTGTAGTGTAGTGGAGGTGGTAGGTGAAGTGGGTGCTAGTGGAGATGGTAGGTGTGGAGAGGTGTAGTGTAGTGGATGGTAAATTCTAACATAAACTGAGGCCACTGATTTATAAATAAAAAATTTACCAAACAAGTTTTTATTTGAGTTTTTAAAATTTTTGTAAATATAAACAAAAAACTGAAAACGTAAGCATTACCAAACGGCACTTTAGAAATGACAATATTAAATTTAAAAAAATTTCGTAAACTAAACAATTTAATTCCCAATGGAAGCCAAGCATCCTATTGAAGAATTAGGATACCTTTAATGGGTTAACATGGTGCACTACAATGCTATGACCAGCAGTTGCAAGAAATAAATAAATAATAAATAAAATGAAAAATCAAATAGCTCAAACTATTCAAATCCTCCCATAAACAAAATATGAAACCAACCCTTTCGGATCCATTTGGTTTGCTCATGGGAAGTAGCCAACCCACTACACACACACACAAATATATATATATATATATATGTATAGATTCAAAAAGCAAACTCTTCACTTGGCAAATCAATAAGCAAACTTTAACTAACTTAATTCCCCCATCATCTACAAATCAATACAGCCCAAAGACCCCCATTTAGACTTGCCCAAAAATTCAAATCACCCAATCAGATTCATTTTGCTTCCAACCTTCAACTGAAAATTGTGAATATGTCTCAATCACCCCCCGCAGAATTGCCAAAGCAACACCCTTTGCATCTTCATTTGTACAACATACAATGAGAGCAAAACAACTCGACAATACAATTCATCAGATAATTGACACCATAGGTCCATAACCATGTTTATATCAGCAACCTTTACATGAAGAAAAGCAATACCTGCTCAAAATGGAGGAACCCCACATAACATAATTCCGCTTCAAAACCTTCGGGGTCATATAGTACGGACTCCCCACAATCTTTGAAAACTTCTCTCCTGAATGAAGATGTAAAGGAAGTTTAAAAAATCATTAAAGAACCCACTCAAACCCCATAACATTCTTAACTAAAATATTCAAAGTGACCAATTCAATCAAGAATAACAAATGCATGGAAATAATCAGAAGAATGTGTAATCATTGCCCAAAACATACACCAAGGAATAACAAATGCATGGAAATAAAGGAACTTCGGGTTCTTTTGCTTAAGGCCCAAAACAACAGTCAAATGAAAACATACACCAAGGAAAGGAAAGGAAAAATGAAATAAATATTGGCCAGGGAAAAAGAATAAAAGACATGAAAGAGAATGTGCTTAGACTTCACCATTCAAAAATCCATGCATAACACAATCCTAGTGAAACATAACATGACTAAAGATATAAAGGAAGACATCACACCAAGGAAAGATACATGCCCTGTTTGTGAATAAATGTTAGCACCAATTTACAAAACTCATCCATGTCATAATGGGTATAAATCCATCTAAAATGCTCAGAAATCTGATTATCTACAGAGACCTCTTAAATGCTCAGATGAAAAATTCATATGGAAAAATCCATGAATGGTACTGTAACCCATATGAAAAATAATTCAAACTAAACAATCAACCAAAATTTCCCAAAATTTTAGCAATTTTTTAATAGAAAAAACACTAAAATTCTCAAACCCATTTCAAAAAGAACATATCAGAACCGAATAAAAAAAATAAATAATAAAACCCAATAAAAATCCTCAAAACCCATAACCCTAATCCTCAAAACCCAATAAAAATAAATCCTTTTTGGTCACCCCTTTAAAGAAAAAAATATCATGGATTGCAAATTTGTAAGTTGTAGTTTACCTCTAAAGATGAGAGAGGCGATGGTTGGTGTCATCACAAGAGGAAAGAGGCGAAACAGAAGGGCGAGAGAAGAGAGTTGGTGGTCGGTGGTCAAGAGAAGAGAGGACAACAAGAGGTGAGGAGAGGTGGTCGGTAGTCAGTGAGGGCGGTAAAGAGGGAGGGTTTCTTTGAAATGAGAAAGAAGGAGAGGATTTGGGCAGAGATGAAAGAGGAGAGAGAAAGAGCATTTGGGCAGGAAAAAATTGAAAGGCTAAATCTCAGGCGTGTTTGAGTTGTGAGAGAGTTAGGTGGTAGATAGAAAGGCTAAATCTGGATCATTCAAAGTGAATAACAATATTGATCTCAACCATTCAAATGTCCTTGTAGGACAAATGTGAGTAACACATTTTCAAACTCAGCCTTCCCTTGTTATATAGATATATGTACTTTGCAGACAAATTGCTTGATTTTTGGAAGAATATTTGACCAAGGTACAAATACATTTTGTATATGTCTTGTACTTGTAACCAAGTTAGTTTACTTAAGCTCTAACCCTAACTAGATCATGTTTTGGTACACAATTAGGCTTCATAATCATCCTACATTCCATTGAATTCAAACTAAATCCAAAATATCTAATCTATTTCCAACCAAAGGGCAATTTGGACTTTTCACACCAATTTTGCTATAAGTACACCAATTCTCTCTACACTTTTGAGCACAAAACACACTCACAAACTTACATATTCAGCTGAGAGGAAAGAGAGGGCAAGAGAGTGAGCTTGGTGAAGGAAAGGAGAGAAAGAGAAGGTTTTGTTACCAATTCAACAAAGCCTCAAGTAAGCCACAATACAACTCTCTTTTTTATTTTCCTTTTTCAAATACATGTTAATAGAGGCTTAAAACAATATTTTCAGATGTGTTGTAATGGTGTTCTAGTGTTAAAATGAAAAGAATTGAGTCTTATTCCACCCTTGTGTTTTCTCTAAATCGGTGCAAAACTATCATTTTCTACACCTATCTCTCATAATTTCTAAAGGAACACCTTTAATATAAATTTCTGAGTTTAATATATACTATTTAGTATGTTTTCACCACAAAAAAGTGAAAAATTTCCCTTAGTTGGTCTCTTTTCTCACCAATCTTCTTGTTTTGAGTATTGTGCATGAAAAACTAGTTTTACAGCCAACTTCCAAAAATTCTAGAAAAATGTAGAAAAATCTCCTAGACCTCAATTTTATGTCAAAAACTTCCTTAAAGAGTTAGCTTTCAAGGAAAATTGGTTTCACTGAAAAGAGTGAGCGGTTTATAAGAAAATCTAATTTTCGTAATGGTCAACGAATCTGGACAACGCTGGAGTGTTTCATAAATAACTAAAAATATAGAAAAGCTATTCCATTTCCGAAAAATGTTTTGAAAACTAGATAAAATTCTCTATGAACCATAGGAAGGCTAGGCTTAGGAAAAATCTGAAATGGTCCTTTTGATTTTAATCTTTAATGGTACTGAATCTGAAAATTTAGTTTTGCATTGGCGTTTTGTGCTCTTGTCTTCATGAATATGTTTATTAATATATGATCATATCGTTGTGTGATATTGCATGTGTTATTTTAATGTTCCCTATCTTCTTTATTTGATGATGCTCATGCTTATATGGATATTACTATCTTGTTAAGTTGTTCTAACTTTAATTTAAGACATCTAACTCAACGGAAACCTTAATTGGGGTGGTATTGGGTTTCGATCACTTGAATAATGGACATTATCAAATGGACAGATGATAATGTGTTATGTATGAATTGATGGGATGTGCTCCCTAATTAAAGGTTAAGTCTTGCGCAAGCAGTTATGACATAAACCCTAAAATGGAACGGACGTATTTTGACTCTTTGCGATGATTTGATTTGGTGAGACAAGGTTGGGTCCAGATGGGACATGGAACGGACTTATTCAGAGTCTTTGCTTTGATTTGATTGGTGAAATAAGGTTGGGTCCAGATGGGACGTTCAGGACGATAAATTTTTTTTGGAAGGATAAGGTTGCATTCAGGATGATAAAACTTTTTTCTTTTCGCCGTCCTTTTTGAGATCCACCTATGGCTCTACGCAATATGTAACCGTTGCGGGCATCCGTTGTAAGTTTCGAATAGTCCGATGTCTAATTTTTGCGGTTGGGATGATGAAATCTCTTTGGAAGATTTCTAGATTATTAACATTTAACCTTGTATTCATTTATTATTGAAGGTTTATCATGCTTCATTACTTACTTGTTATAATTGTGATGGTGTATTGGATTGGGAAAAATGGACGGGGTGTGTGTGTGCATTTACTGGGCATTCAAAGCTCTTGGGGTTTCATGCCGGGTATTGAGGACTATTAGACCGGTCGGAGGCAAAGCTGAAGTATTTGAAGACGTATGGCTACCCTATGAGAGTTAGGAACTAGTTTTGTAAATACGTTTTGAGATTGTAAGTGATTAATCGCTTACTGTATTTAAGACATGATTTTTTAATTATTATATATATCATTTGTAACCTATCCTTATACTCTGTCAACTCACTAGGCCTTGTGTTAATACTTTATCAAGATTTGTCAAAAAGGTAGCTTTGCTATCTAAAGTGGTTGGACTTAGAAGGGAGGCTATATTGACTCTTTCGACCTTCCTGGGATCTTACTTGGTTATTAGCCAAAGGACTCATTAAACCTTGTATTTATTTGTTAACATGTATTCTTTGATGTTCCCGATTTTTGGGGCATTACATAGTTTTTATTAATATTTGATTATTTGTAGATATAATGTTAATCTAGATAGCAAATAAAAATATATGAAAACATATTTTATTGCCGTGTCCTTGTCTCCATCTTTTTGAAATCGCTGTATCCCATGTCCGTATCCATGTTCATGTCCGTGTCCGCATCTGTGTCCGTGCTTCTTAGGTTATTTGCTATGGATGGAACCACATTTATTATACAGCCTAGAAGTGTTGATTTCTAATTTCATTTAATTGTCGTGGTGCCAATCTCAGGTGAAAGTGGGACCGAGATTGTTGCTAGATTGAATCGAGATCTCCTCCCAACGTTGATTAACGGTCTTATGTTCTGGCCAATATGTGATTTTCTTACTTACAAAGTTATCCCTGTTCATTTACAGGTACCTTGAAGTCTCAATTTTTATTTTATTTATTTTATATATTGGTTGGATTAATGATAAACACTTTGAACATCCACGCATACTGGTTGAATTATTTCTCAACTGATTGGCTGAAATTTACTACTACTTTTTCTTGGCAGCCATTGATAAATAGTTCCTTTTCGTATATTTGGACCATATATTTGACATACATGGCAAACTTGAAGAAAGCGGGTATTGTTTAGTTTTGACAGGTACCTTGAAGTCTCAGTTTTTATTTTATTTATTTTATATATTGGTTGGATTAATGATAGACACTTTGAACATCGACGCATACTAGTTGAATTATTTCTTAACTGACTGGCTGAAATTTACTACTACTTTTTCTTGGCAGCCATTGATAAATAGTTCCCTTTTGTTTATTTGGACCATATATTTGACATACATGGCAAACTTGAAGAAAGCGGGTATTGTTTAGTTTTCAAGTTTTTTGACATCTACATGTATTGATCTGCAAGAGTTATAAAGGAAAGACAAGAACAATATCCGATTTTGTCCTTTAAAGTCTGGATTGAGGAGACAGCAGTAGAATTTGACCTCCCAATAGTTGCAGGTACTTGCACCGAAGTTAGTAATAATTACAATTTATACATTCAGATTTTTTTATGTCCTGATTTGTCTGTACATAGTTCCTTATATTTGAGATTTGGTTTTATTGGTGCATCAAAAGAGGTTCATTGACATATAATTATCACGAATTAAAATTTCTTTTTCATGAGAATCACTTGGTTTAGTTTTGTTGACTCGATAGGTTTGTTGTTGAGTTCATTACTATATGGCTAATTTGCACTGGGAGAATGTTTAATGTGAAATTCCAACATGGTTCAATTGACCATAAACTTTGCAAGGAGAGTTTTAAATATTCATTTTTGTTCTTTTCATTCGCCTTTTTGAATTTTGTATGTATTACTTGATAGATTTTGAGAGTTTGTTGTATGTTTCCACCAAATTAACTTCGTTTGACATTAGTTGGTGTCTGGTGAGATTGGTAACATCTTGCAGCAATATCCAGATATATATAATCATGTATATTTAATGCACTAGTTTTTGGCTACCGCCAAATTTTGGGTTTTTAAACTCATCACACTAGGCCAACAATATTCATGAGATATTTGATTGGCAGTTTAATAATATCACTGTCTCGATTATTGATATTAGCCTTTCATCCGTGCGATGCACGGGATAAAATAATATATTATTTATTAAAAATACGATAATTATATTTAATTTTTTTATATTTTGTCTCTCATAAATAAAATTATATATATAAGTTTAGGAGTTTTGTTTCAAATGTTCCTTTACTATAACATATAGTATAGATAGATTAAAATTGTTGTACTGACAATTAATAAATAAAATTACGCTTTGTTATAAAAAAATTGACATAGTTTCAATATTTTACTATTTTAGAATAAAAATATATGAAATTTAAAAAAATTGTCATATTGGTTTTTGAAAGGGAAATAATTAAAGAAATTTTATAAACTTGATGAGTAAAAAAAAATTATCATAACATCAAAAACCGCTAAAATTACGGTTAAATCAGCAAATCATTCAAACTAAAAATGGTTTAGTTTAACCAGTTAGGTCAAAAGACCAACTAGCTTACACAAAAATTAATGGGAAAATTACCCACAGGTCTTATTTGAAATATGTGGACACTATTTAATCCAACAATTTTTTGAGTAGACCCAAAAGTCCTACTTTCCTCTCTCTCCCTCCCTCTCTGCTTTTTGCCTCACTCTTTACGTTTTCCTCTCTTTCTTTTGTTCTGCATTTTTCTCATCTTCTTTGTCATGGACGATTGGTGATCACGTCTTTCTCCATTGATCGGGGTTCACCGGTAACCACCAACCATCGAAATCAACTTGTGATTTCACTTTTACCGACGGTGAAGAATATATATTTCCGACGAAGAAGATGAGTAGATCTACATCAGATTTGGCTAGATCTAAACAAAAAATAGTTGCCGGAGTACAATCCTCTCTCTATATCCGCCTCTCCTTCGATCTCTTATTTTTTTCTACATTTTCTCTGTTATAAACTTCTCTTTTTCTGTTCTAATGGAGAAAATTTTCTAGTTCTGAACAAGTAGTTTTCGAGTTTTAGTTACAGGCGATGAAAATTGTAAAATTTTGCAATTTCAAATTTTTTTGGTGTTGGAATGAATCATGGTTTAAAACTGTAAAATTTTACAGTTTCATAACATTTTTTAGAACTATAAAATTTTACAGTTTCATAACATGTTTTTCAGTTTGATTAATAAGGATAAATGCTTAATAAATTTTTGCTTTGAAATTATAACATTTTACAGTTTCAAAACTTACTTTTCAGTTTGATCAATATTGGAGATTATTTGCTTAAACTTTACAAAAATTGAAAAATAGCATATGTTTTTTCTATTGTTGCTGTTTTTTGTAGTTTCATTTTTTTTTCCTTTTAGTTTATCAATATTTAACACATTTTGCTATGTTTTTTTGGCTCTAATTTCTTCATTTCTTCTTCTTCTTTTTTTTTGGCAATATTCTAGACATTCTGGTGAGTCTCCAGCGATGTTCTTAACATCCAGTGAACGTTCTAAACATTCCGACGACTTCCATTAACGTTCTTAACACTCCGGTGAACTTCCGGCGATACTCCGGCGACTTTTCGGCAATACTCCGGCAACTTTTCGGTGATGTTAAACATTCCGACGAGTCTCCGGTGACCGTTTGACGGAAGTCCGACGGTAGTAAGATATATCAGTGTCTGAAAATTTAAAAAAAAAAAATAGAATTTTTTGGTAACAATTAAAAATGTGTAGGACTAATTGGTGCAAGTACTTTGTTTGAGGTAATTTTGTATATGGGACTTATTGGTAAGTTCCCCTTAAAGTTAATTGATTAAAACTTTTAAATTTTATTTTATTAAAATTTAAACTGTCACTAAGGTCTCGTTTGGGAACGGTCTGTTTTAGGTTAAAAGTCAAAAAATTACTAAAAAAATCAAAAAGTCTATAACCACTATCAAAAAGTTAAAGATTTTTTTTTCTCTCTACTTTTTGCACATCTTTTCATAAAAAATCAAAAAGTTATTCCAAACATATTAGTTTTTTTTACCTCATATTTTAGCCAAAAAATCAAAAAGTCATGAATATGGCAAGTAATCTATTAATTTAAATTTAAAATTGACACAATATAAATTTAAAATTATAATAATTTATCCCATAATTTATAAGTTTTAAATACAAATTTAAAATTATCATAATTATCTCATAATTTTTATATTGAGGAATAGTAAGAGTAACATTGAGATTATCAATATATCTATATATTTTACAAAAGAATACTTTTAAGGAGAGAGATTATGAGAGTTTCAAAATCTCATAAAAAATTATTTTTAAAATCAAGGGGTACTTACGTGTAAGTCTTAATAAGCGGATTTATTATCTAATAGGTCTTATGGAAAAAATTTGTCATAAAAAATGTTACTAATTGTAAGTTTTAGCGATAATTTATAAAAATCATGACAAAAAAAAGTTACTAATTGTCAATTTTTAGCGACATATAAAAAATTGTCACAAAAAATTATTTTTAACGACAATTTTACCACGACCTATTTTTAATAGGACTTGATGGTAATTAAGTCAAACTATTAGGACCTATTAGTAGTCTACCCTAAAATAGAAACCTCTATGGGGGATTGTAAAATAAAAGTTAAATGGAAGCTAGCCAATAGAGATTTTCTTAATTGTTTAAAATTAAAAAAATAAAAAAAATTAGTATGAAATATTGATCATAATGTTTCTCAATAAAAATCTCCTTTTGCTTATATAAAGAGAATATAAGATTCACTTTATGTAAGTGAAATAATTCATTTTCTCTTTCTTTTCTTGATGTGAGATTGTAAAATAATAATTAAATGGAAGCTAACCAATGAGAATTTTCTTAATTGTTTAAAATTAAAAAAAAATTCAATAATTTATATAAATGAGAGCATAAGATTCATTTTATGTAAGTGAAACAATTCACTTTTTCCTTCTTTTTTCGATGTGAGTTTGTAAAATAAAAATTAAATGAAAGTTAACCAATGAGAATTTTCTTAATTGTTTAAAATTAAAAAAAAAATTAATAATTTTAGAATGAGGGTTTGGAGTTCGTAGAAATCTTCTCTCTAAAAACTCTATTTTCTTTATATAATATAGGTGAAATAACTCACTTTTTCCTTTTTTTCCCGATTTGGGATTGTGTAAAATAAAAGTTAACAATTGTTTGGGCAGGAAATTTATTTCCAATCAAGCAATCTCAACCGTTTAATCTTTAATTAGGTCAATCTTTAATTTATTTCGAATCAATCAAATCTAACCAACATATGTTGATAAAACCGCTAAAATCGTGGTTAAACCAGCGAATTAGTCAAACTGAAAACGGTTCACCTTATCGGTTAGGTCAAAGGACCAATACAAAAAACTTTTAAATTTTATTTTAATTTTAACATTTAAACTGTCTTGAATCGAAATATACACAACACTACAATATTAAATGGGAGTATAAGATTTATACACTGAAACAACTAATTTTTTCCTCATTTTCCTAATGTGAGATTGTGTAATAAAAGTTAACAGTTGTTTAGATGGGAAGCTCATTTCTAATCAAGCAGTCTCAGTGGTTCAATTTTTAATAAGGTCAATCTTAGTTTATTTCAAATTAAACAAATCTAGGCAATATATTTTGATAAAACAGCTAAAATCGCGGTTAAACCAGTGAATCAGTCAAACTGAAAATGATTCAGCCTAATCAGCTAAGCCAAAAGACCAACTAATTTACAACAAAATTAATTAATTAAAACTTTTGAATTTTATTTTAAAATCTAAACCATATTGAACTGAAACATGCACAATACTACAATATTAAATGTGAGTATAGGATTTACTTTATATAAGTGAAACAACTCACTTTTTCTTTCCTTTCTCGATATGGAATTGTAATTATTTTAAAATTAAATATTATCAGAGTTTCAAAATATCATACATAATTATTTTTAATATCAAAACCTCTATGTGGGATTGTAAAATAAAAGTTAAATGAAAGCTAACCAATGAGAATTTTTTAATTGTTTAAAATTAAGAAAATCAAAAAAATATTGGTATGAGATATTGATCATAGGATTTCTCACTAAAAATCTCAATTTGCTTATATAAATGAGAGCATAAGATTTACTTTATATAAATGAAATAATTCACTTTTTCATTCTTTTCCCAGTGTGGGATTGTAATATAAAAGTTAAATGGAAGCTAGCCAATGAGAATTTTCTTAATTGTTTAAAATTAAGAAAATTCAATAATTTATATAAATGAGAGCATAAGATTCACTTTATATAAATGAAACAATTTATTTTTTATATATTTTTCCGAATGTAGGATTGTAAAATAAAAGGTAAATGAAAGCTAACCAATGAGAATTTTCTTAATTATTTAAAATTAAAAAAACTCAATAATTTTAGAATAAAGATTTGGAGCTTCTATAAGGCTTATCCCTCAAAACTCCCTTTATAAGATTTACTGTATATAAGTGAAACAACTTACTCTGTTTTTTTCTTTTCCCAATGTGAGATTGTAAAATAAAAATTAACAATTATTTGGGCCAGAAGTTTATTTCTAATAAAGCAATCTCAGTTATTTAGTTTATTTCGAATCCCAATGTGAGAAGTTTGTTTCAAAACCTCATACAAAATTATTTTTAAAATCAAAATCTTTATGTAGGATTGTAAAATAAAGGTTAAATGGAAACTAACCAATGAGAATTTTTTTAATTATTTAAAATTAAGAAAATCAAAAAAATTAGTATGAGATATTGATCATAAGGCTTCTCAC